GCCCGAGCACCCAGGCGGCACCCTGGGGACAGAAATTGAACTGGTCGGTGAGTCCAGGGAGGGGCTGCACGGTCCCATGTAGACCTCCCTCCTCACACGTCCAGGACTTCTACCTCCTTCCCCACATGGCCTCCGTGCTCCTGTCTCAAGGGATGCAGCCCACCTGAGGCTGGAGCTTGCCGGTGCCACCTTGTGCGTGACTTATCTTTTCTTGCCTGGTTTGAGTGACCAGCCAGATAGCTGCCCAGAGCAAGGGAGCGCCCCCTCCTGCCAGGGGTCAGGGCGAGGACATGGACACAGTGATGGCTTGGTCCCACTCTCTTCACAGAAGTTCACCTCCTCCTCACATTTCCCCTAGAAGGAAACAAGGGCTATAGCACAGCCCAGAGGGAAGGGACTTGCCCAGGTCCTGCACGAGTCACAAGTGCAGATGGAAGAGGCTCCCAGCCTGGAGGCCCCCAGACACGCTGGCAACAGGAAGGCCCCACGCCAGAGCCCCAGGGCTCCTGGAAGACCCAGCCGTCCTCTTCCCTCAGATCCTGGAAAGCCTGCAACCAGCCTTTCTTGCCTGGCCAATGTCCAGGAGTTTCTGGACCATTAAAGACCCAGGAATCCTTCTCTCCCCTTCAAAAGTGGCTCCAGAAGTTACTTCCTTTTGGGGCTAAAGCCTGGCCTATGGGAGACTCATCTGAAAGGTCCTTAATTCAATGGGGTATTGGGGGAGCACATCTTAGGTATTAAGGCTTAGTCGGTGACCTTGAAGAAAGCTCAGTCCTTATCCAGGCTCAGGGGTCAATGTATGGATCAGGGTTAAAGTTCAGGTAGGACCAGATTCGGGGCTCTTCGACCAGGGTCAGGCTCAGTCTGCTCTCAGAATCAGGGTTGAGTGTATGGCTCAGGGTCAGAGTTTAGTTTGTGACCAGAATAAGGGCTTCATATGTGTCCAGGATAAAGGCTCAGTTGGTGTCCAGGTCAAGACTCAATCTTGGATAAAGGTCAGGGTTCAGTCCGTGAGCTGAGTCAGAACTCAGTCTAAGATCAGGATCAAGGTTCAGTGTATGGACATGGAAGGATCAGGGCTCAGAGTGTAACCAGGATCAAGCTCAGGCCAGGACTCACTATGGTCTTGGGTGAGGGTTCAGTCTATGACTCCACTCAGGACTTATCTGTGACCTTGACAAAGGCTAAGTCAGTTTGGGATCAGAACTCCCTCTGTGATAGGTCAGGTTCCAGGGTTGGAGGTGTCATTTAGTCAATCTTGTTGACTTAACCTCTCTGATCCCCTCAGCTAGTACACCCAGCTTTCCACTCCTCTCATTTCACAGGGCCTTGACCCTCCGAAGTGGAAAAGGCCAATGTGTGCAGGCTGCCTGGGCTATAGTCTCTAGCCCGTCGTGTGCCCAGGCTGCCCTCTAGTGGCACTCTCCAGCAGTTTCTATTTCCTAGGGCTTGGCACATCTCTATGGCCATTGCCTACTTATGGGAGCCTAGCCTTCAGGCATGTCCATCAATGTCCATCCAGCCATCTCTACAGTCCCACGTTCTCCAGCCTCTTCACAAAGAAGTAGAAAGAAGGAATTGGCCAGGGGAACTCCACCACACAAAGAGAGCTTTTCACCTTTCTGCCCAGAGTTGGCTCCTTGATCATTTTCTCTAGAGTTTCAGCTGTGGGATAAGATTCACATATTTTACTAACTCAGCAAATATTTGTTGAGCACCCACCTTGTGCCTGGTAGGTGCTGAGTGCACAGCAGTGAACAAGACAGAGTCCAACCTTTCAGAGTCACAGTCCACTCACTTCTTCCTAATCCCCTACTCCCCCTCCATAGACCTCATCATTGAGGCACCGGCACCAGCAGAAGGGTAGGTGAGATTCAGAACTGGGCAACTAGACTCAGAGATTAGACTAGTTAGATTCTGGGTTCCATCTTCACCTCTCCCACGGGCCTCATCTGAACTCATGGCTTAGCCACCACCCAATGCCAGTGGCTTCAAAATCTGCATCGCCTCTCTCTCTTTCCAGAATTCAGGGTGTGGCTCCAGCTCCAGGGGAAGTTCCACTGAGCTAACAGACCTTTTTATCTTAGCACAGCCCTTGCTTTGCCTCCAGATATGCCCAGCTGCTCTAACCAAGATTTTAGAACTTTATCCCAGATTCTTCTCTTTCCCTCTCCTTATACTCCCCCAACAGGAAGACCTCAAACATGATGTCAAATCTGTCCACTTCACAGCCACCACTCCAGTCCCAGCCCCCAGCAATAACCTCCTAACCTCATTTTCCTCTTGTCCCCAACACTGTTTTCCACACAGCAGGCTGAGTGCTCTTCATAAATCAGATCATGCTTAAAACCCTCCAGTGGCTCCCATCTCTCTGAGAATAAAATCCCGACTCCTCATGTTGGCTTACTCAGCTTTATATGAGCTGAGCAATAGTTCCTCCCCGCCAAGTTCATCTCCCACCCCACCACCCTTTTTTCTTGGCCTGATGGCCCGAGGCCACGTTCATTCTCCCCTTAGGGCTTTTGCACTGGTGTACTGTCCTAGAGGGGCCTGAAGGAATGTGAGGGAGGGAGTCCCCTGGTAGGGCAGGCCTGGGTTGGGGGTTGGAGGGATGTTGCTAGGGCGGCTGATTGGAAACTGAGTCCTGGGGTATAGAGATTATCTTCTGGTGTGCCTATGGAGAGGGAGCCAATGACCTTCAGCTGGGCACAGCCGTGGGAGAGAGACTCCAGGGAGACAATGCCTTCCCCTGCTCCCATCTCACTTGCCATTCTATTCATTCACACCATCTCTTTGTGGCCCACTGCCTCAAGTTCTTATCACCTGTTTGTTCTTCCTCCTCAGCAGCCAGGCTCCTTGATCTGAAAGTCTTCTTGTGGGGGGAGAAGAGGAAGATGATGTGCAAGTCTAGGCCTCTGCCAGCAGGTGAAGAGGGGTGTGGGCTGAGCCTAGCATCCTAGGGCTAGAATCTGGGGTGTCTCCTACTAAGAAGGTGTAGAAGGGTGGGCCAAATCACACCCCAAGGCAGCATCAGCAGTGGCCCCCTCACCTCCTACTCTACCAGCAGCAGGTGGCGTCTGAGGCTGCAGACCAGTGAACCAGAAGAGGCAGATCTGGAACTGGAGCCTGGGGTGGCAACCTTAAAACACACACACAACACACAACACACACACACACACACACACACACACACACACACACAGTGGGGGTGGGGAAGTGCGCTGAGAAGAGGTCATCAGCTCCAGGGGCTAGATCTTCAAAGGTTAGGACCCATCGACCCATGTGAATTAATAGAGATGGCCTGCTCAGCACCTATGGAGATAGATTTCCTCATCTCCAGGTCAATGGGAGGGCAGACAGCAGGAGAGGCAGAGGCAGACACGGGGCTCAGAGGAAGGAAGACAGAATCTCAGGGCTGGTGGGAAGAGCCTGGGCCCAAGCAGAAGAGCAGTGAGGCCCGCTCTGGAAGGAAAATGGCGGCTGAAGAAGCCAAGGGCGGATAGGTGGGCAGGGAGTCATGGTCAGCAAGCGGTTGTGGTCCAGTGTGTGCCACCATCCCAGGCACTGCTGGCCCGGGTCCCCGCAATCAGAGAAGGGCTTGGCCCAGGGTTGCAGTGTCTTCCCCCCAGACTCCAGGTCCTTTGTTTCTTCTTGCAAAGCAGCCTCTAGCCCTCTGCCAGATGCCATCACCCACCCACATCGAGCACAGCTAAGCCCAGACACTGCCAATCCTGCCAGATCAGAAGAAACGACTAGGGCCGAAACCGGTTTAGCTCAGTGGATAGAGTGTCTGCCTGTGGACTGAAGGGTCCTGGGTTTGATTCCGGTCAAGGGCATGTACCTTGGCTGCGGGCACATCCCCGGTAGGGGGTGTGCAAGAGGCAGCTGGTCAATGTTTCTCTCTCATCGTAGTTTCTAGCTCTCTATCCCTCTCCCTTCCTCTCTGTAAAAAATCAATTATATATATATATATATATATATATATATATATGAAAGAAACGACTAGGATTTGCATAACCATGCCCTTCTTTCCTCCCATCTCCACTGGGTGACAGCCCTCAACCACCCCCACATGCATGTGTGCTGTCAGTGTTGCCCACTCCCTACCTCATGCACACAGCCGGGCGATCTCACCCACAGGCACAGTCGTTTATGTTCATTCGGTCCCCCAGCCTGACACACCTATTCCCCATTTCACAGGCACCCTAGTCTGTTTTTGCTCACAGTCACACAGTCCTCTCCTCTAGGTCTCCAAGGGGATGGCAGGACCCCAGCCCAGGGCCCTGTAATCAGGCCCTCCTTCGGGGCTATACAGCCACAGCAGACTTGACTCCAAGGTGCTTTATTGAGAAGCGAGCACAGAGAGAATGCACAGGAGGAGCCCTCAATGGGTCACTCCATCAGGCCCTAGCCTCAGCAGCCCCTGCACACAAGTTGAGGGTAAGGGTGTGTACAACCCAGTTCTACCTTAGGAACTATCCTAGCCCAAATCAGAACCTCCATCCTTCTCAACTAATCCCCAAAGGTCATGGAGTAGAGAGAGGAGGGCGGGGAGGAGCAGAAGGGAGAGCTGGTGACCTCTCAGTGTGTAGGGGTAGGGGACAGCTGGGCTGATACTCCTCCCCTTCTCCCCCTTCCTCCCACCCCCGGCAGTTAGTCCCTCTCAGAGTGCCTTTGTTCCGTGTCCAAATGCCCTGGGTAGCGGTGTTAGGGACTGGAGGTCCAGAGGCCCAGTTTCATTCAGTCTGGGAGCGAAGTAATGTAGGGCCCAGCACACTCCACCTAAAGGGCCAGGGAGCTGCCCCCTCCTGGGGTGAGGAGCATACCTCGACCCATTCGCCCCCTAACAGTCCTAGAGGTGGGACAAATGAGGCCACCTGTGCTCAGCACCAGACCCTTATGTAAATGTCCTTTCTCTTGTCTTCTGTTTGTTTGTTTGTTTGTTTGTTAGCACTGAACGGAGGGACCTGGGCCAGGAGAGTCCGAGAGGGCCCCGGCCGCTAGGGGGCGGCGCGCTCCCGGGGCAGGTTGAGGCGCTCCCCGTTGGTGCGCGGCGTGTCGGCAGCTGCAGGCGCGGAGGCGTCCAGGGCAAAGGGGCGGGGGGCGGGGCCGGTGCTGGAGCGGCCGGAGGACGCGGACGAGGCGGTGGGGCTGAGCTGAATGGCCGTGGTGTCCTGCGCCGTGCGCTCGCTGCTCTCCATCTCCAGCGCCACCGGCCCGCCGCCGCCGCCGCCCCGGCGCGGACCCTTGGCGGCCGCCGAGTGCGGGCGGGCCCCGGGGCCCCGGCGGCTACAGGCGCAGCAGGCGGCGAACAGGCCCAGCGCCACCGCCAGCAGCGCCGGCCCCGCCACCAGCGGCGCGTAGTGCTTGGGCGGGAAGGAGGCGAAGGCACCCACCAGGGTCACGTTCAGGCCCGCCAGCAGCACGCACAGGCCGCAGGCGCAGCACAGCGCGGGGGACCGCAGCTCCGGCAACCAGCCCCGCGCGCCGGCGGCGGGCGCCTGTGCAGAGGGCCCCCCGCTCTTCCCTTTGGGCGGCATCGGTGTGGGGAGGCCGAGCACCCATCAGGCTCCTTCTGGTTGCCGGCCCGGACCAGCCCCGATGTCAGCGGCCAAGCGCCCAGTCATCCTGTGGGGCAGAGCAAGAGGGAGGAGGGGTCAGCAGCAGCGTGTCTCAGGTTCCAACCGCACTGTCAGGTCTGGGGCTACCTCCAGTGCCTGGGAGTGCACAGGCCATCTTGGCCAGCCTCTGTCTCTGGGAAGTAATAGCCCACCGGGAAAGAGCCTCCCTTTGTTTTCCTACCCAGTCCCTGGAGCCCTCTGGCTAATTTGGAGAACAGTGGTCCGTCCCTCCCTCCGGTGGAAGAGCCTTCCTACCTTCTCTCCTCCAGACAGACACAGCCTCTCCACCTCCCCTCCTCCAGGAAGTCTACTTGGGCTAATTAAATGGAGTGAATTGCTTCAAAATGCTGGAATGAGAATCATTATCAGTAGTAGTTAGAGGGCAAGTGGCCCCTCTTGGGATTTAGACGCCCCCCTCCCTGTAGCCCCCTCCCCCCAAGCCTTATAAATCATCCGGTATAACCCCTCTTTGCTCAGAAGAGGTCTAGCAAGTTACCCCAGATCCAGGACCAGGACCTAATGGCCTACCTCCTGGCCTGCATGTCCCCACCTTAGGCTATGGTAGGCACAGCAGTGACATCCCGAACATCAGGTGAGGCCCTGGAGTGAGTGACCGCATAAGAGTGAGGAGCTTTTAATGTCTCAGATGGGCAGTGAGAAGGGACAGTCCCTACGTAGGTTGTGTTTGGCTGGAACAGACCCAAGGCCCCAGCTTCTTTCTAGCTGGGAGTTCTATTAGATTCCAATCCTACCTCCATCCCACCTTACCCAGCCCCCCTCCCCCACACACAGGATTCTACTGTTGAACCTGGACTCACAAGCCTGATCACTGGATGGTAGAATTCCTTTCTAGGATTCTCTAGTATCTGGGATCCATCACTGGATTCTAGAATTCGGGGCATGCATGCACAAGCAAGCGTAAGGTAATCGGAGTCTAGGGATTTAAGACTTCTATTGAGAATTCTGTTCTATAACATAAAGTCATCAGTATGGAGGCCCTCAAAGGATGAAATCATAACTGTGGAGTTGTGTTAAAATTATGAAAAATATTTCAAAAAAAGGGCTCTGGGTGGGGTGAGAGGCACATAATCAGATGGTACCACACCTGGGAGCAGAGCATGCAGGATAAGTAAGGGAGCCTGACGTGGACAAGTGGCCTGTCCAGGCTTCAGTGTTAACACCTGTCATGTAGGGCTAATAAGAGAACCTACCTTGGGGTGAAGTAATAATTAAATGCTTTAAGCTAAATCAAATGCTTAGAACAGAGCCTGGAACATAAGTGAAAATTCAATGAGTGTTCGCCATTTGCCAGAGTGGCAGTTGATAGACAAGGGGGCAATAAGCTCTCAGATCTGGGAGGTTGGCCTTGTTTCGTTTGCAAAGAGAACAATGGTCTGTCCCTCCAGTGGAAGTGCTCAAGGCTTTGAGTTGTCCTGTGGGTGTCCAAGGCCTGCACACAGTGGGAGATGGAGAGGGTTTGGTTACTTGTGAATGAAAATGAGGGGAAGGTGCCAGAGAAGGGTAGTTCAGGTCCTCGCTCTGGACACAGGTTTGAACTAGCCTGGCCCAAGCAGGTCAGGGAGCCTGGCAGGGGCAGGGACACCTCCATTTCTGCCCAGATCTGATGACTCCAGGGCTCCCTTCTCTGGCTCCATAGTGAGAGGTAGCAGTTCTACTGGGACTCCAGCCAGAAGCACGGGACTGATACACTAAGCAGGAATTCAGAAATTCCCAAATCCTGGCAAAAAAAGACAACACCAAACCAAAAAACAGCACATCCCATGTTGATCCTTGAGAGCATTTACAGACCACAGATCCCTGAAGAAGTTCCACATTTGCATGAACCATTTGCTCTCTGTAACCTGCAGCTGGTCCTGCTGAGCAGAAATAGTAACCACTAATTTCTGGGTACAGCAATTTCCAGTTTGCAAAGCACTTCACATTCATGACTGAATAGAACAACTGCTTGATACTTATTACCAGCCACATTTCACAACTGAGGAAATGGAGGTTCAGAGTGGGAGGTGGAGCTGGCTCCCACGGCTGCACTAAAAGATGACACTCTGAGACCAGTCAGGGAATACATGACCTGGTGCAATTGTGTGCAGTCTTGCTTCGTTTCTTCACAGGGCAGAGTTTGATCCCTTGAGGGCTGATGTGGAGGTAACACCTAACTTTCCTGCTACCCTCAGGAGGGGCTGTGAGGTTCCCTAATATAGCCCCCCCCCATCTCTCAAGTCCAATATTCAATATTGGATATTCATGAGGTGGGTAGGAGCTCGAAAAGAGGGGCTATATGAATATCCAACATCATCTGACAAAGACAGGTCTTCCCTCCTATGGGAAGGCTCAGTCTGAGGCGGGAGGAGGGAGCCCCTGGTGGAGGGGATGGAATCTGGCTCTTCACCTCACTAACCAACAAGCACCTGAAAGCTGACCCTGGACAAGGAAGGGCAGGCCCCAGGTGGCTGGAGGGTCCAAGTTTCTTTTCCCTTGTAGGGAAGTCTCTTTGTCTTTGACTTTCAGCAGTTTTACTAAGTTGTGCCCAGGTGAGATTTTTCTTCATATTAATCCTTCTTGGGCTTTCCGAAGCTTCGTACAATCTGTGGTTTGATTCCCCACTGCCACCCCAGTTTTGAAGTATTTTCAGCCATTATCTTTCCCCCATTTTCTTCTCTCCTCTACTGCTGAGACCCTCGTTGTGCTCCAGTTCAACCATTTGACATTATCCTATGTCTCTTACACTCTATTCTTTATTTTCTAGCCTGTTTATCTTCTGCCTGGTTATTTTTCTTCTGATCTATCATATGGTTTGCCAATCCTCTCTTTACCTGTGTCTTCATTTATTCAGTTCTAGAATGTTCATTTCTAGAATTGCCACTTGATTATTTTCCAAAGATTCTAGTTTTTTGTTGTTATTGTTGTTGATTCTTATCTGTTTTCTTGAACATATTAAACCCCTTAATGTCGATGTCCGAAAACTCCAATATCTGGTTCTCTTGTTTTATTGCTCTTGAGTTTTGGTCACTTACTCTTACCTCTTGGAATGCCAGTTACGTTTTTATTAAATGTTCAACATTGCAGAGATAGCCTGAGGCTCTGAATGATGTCAACTTCCTCAAGAGATGTACTTGTGCTTCTGACAGCTCAAGAAGGGACAGGCCACTTTCACCCACTCTGAGATGGCAGGGACTCTAAGCTGTGCTCCAGGCTTTCTGAGCCTGGGTTATATGTGGTTAGTGGTACTCTCAGAGGATAGCCCTTTAAGATCCCCAACTAGAAACTGAAGTTTGTTTTTGTTGTTATTCTTAAAATAGGGCCTCCCTTCTTTTTAAGCCCCGAATTCCTATTTTGACTTGCCAACTCCGCGGCCACTGCCCCCTATAAATTGCAAAATGCTTTAAGGGAAAAAGTGAAACCAAATATTTTTTTGTCTCCAAGTTCATGGTCACTCAACACCTTTCAGCCTTGGTAGCCCTTCAATGTCTTTAAACAGAGTTCTGAACTGTCTACTCCAGCATTCTTAGTTATCCTCAGTGAGTGAGTTGGTCTGATTCAAGCTAGTCTATCTTAGACAGAAGCAAGTCCAGGTGAGAATCTGAAATTAGCATCTTCAGATTGCTAAATTAATTGTGCTATGCTGAGCACTTTCAGTAACAGGAGATAAACTATTACTGTGATAGCCCCATTTAATAGATGAGGCTATTGAGGCACAGACAGATTAAACTCACACGGGACCACAGAGTAGCAGGGGTGGTACCAGGATTTGAAACCTGGTGTTCTGATCTAGAAGCCTGAGCTCTCAGTTTAGCACAGTGCTAGGCTTGCTAAACGCTTGTTGCACAGAGCTTAGACTCTCCTCAGGGCCCTGTAGATAAGCTTCTGTAATTACCACTTACACTGCTCACCTGTCAACAGCACAGGAGAAGCTGGGGTGTGTTCTGAGTGTCCCTCCAGAAGGCAGACTCTGCTGCTCCTTGGTTTAGCACACTAAGCCCAACAAAGAATGCCTGCCCAGGGGCTGAGCTTCCAAGTGCTAATTGTCAATGAATGATTCTTATCTGCCCTGGTTGGCAAATCTGACTCTGGAAGACAAAAATACTTCCAGAGTTTCCGCCCAGGCAGAGAAAGGGCTAAGGACTCTTTCTGCCTCCACCCTGGTTAATTGGGATTTGGGGGAGGTACACAGAGGTGAGGTGTTGAGGTCGTTCAGTTGTTGCAATTCGAATTGCGCCACCATTTCCACCTGTGGACAGTGGCCCTCCAGCTGGAGCTGTTGCAATACCAGGCACTCTTTCATTGAGGGAGCTCTGGCCAGCTCCGTTGTCACTATGGTTGTTCACTAAAATAAGGTGACCTGACATCCCACTTTTGGTGGGACAATCCCGATTTTTTAAAATTGGGACTTTTTAAAAAATGCCTCGGGACATGGGACAAATTGTTAAAAATCGGGACTGTCCCACCAAAAGCGGGATGTCTGGTCACCTTACACTAAATTTTTCTCGTTCTTCCTGCTTCTGGACACATGTGAAGATTGCACTTCTTGGCCAATTTGTGATCAGGTGGGGCTGTGACTTGTTCTGGTTAATGAATTATGACTTGTGCCACTTTTCAGGCTGGAGTATTTAATTGGGAAGTAGAAGGCTCCCACTTGAAGCTATTGCTATCTGAAAGCATCCAACAAATTATCAATAGGTCCTCAGTAGGTGGAGGCAAGAACTCCTGAGGCGGGGGTCTCTGCCTGAAGCCCCTTGAGATCAGTCTGCCCCACACCCTGGCCCCTCCATGGGTCTGGACGTCTGTGTTGTACAAGAGCAGTTGCTTGGTCAGGGGCAGCTGCCAGGCCTCCTGGCACCAGGTTCCTGCTCCAAGGGCCCAAGAGCCTCTGGGCAATATCAGCCATCAGACATCAGACATCA